TTTTTGTAATTTTAAATAAAGAAAATTTCTATTACTTTTCATTAATATTTTGTGGGTATTCTGAATAAAACGAAGTGAAATATTAGTGAATCACTATCATTTATTCTAGAACAGGATGCTCTTGGCAGTAGGAATATACTTTTTGATAGCAAACCTGAATAATAGGAAGGTAAAATATCCCAAAATTAGATATTGATTTTTAAAAGCCTTACTAACACTTGTAGCAAATATTTAAGCATATTTGATAATTCGGAAATATTGGTAATCACGTTTTTTGTAAAAAAAAAATCTAAAAGGGTGGAACAAAATGTTGAGAGGTATTGATAGATCGAAATTTATTTATTTCTTATGTATTAAAATAGTTTGTTTGTGAATATCATGTTTTTTTAAATTATTAAATATGCTTAAATAATGCTATCAATGATGCTTCAACATTGGAGGAGGAAGATGGGTTATAGGTACAATTGTAATTTAAAATTATTTTAGCAATATTTATCATATCATCATTATTTATATTATCCAAATCCCCTCTCAAATAAACCTGATTTAACCATAAAATCTGTTATTTGTCTTTGATTTTATCTTGCCAAATTGATTTTTAGCTATTGATGCACAAATTAGAAAGCGAAGAAATAATAATTTGCAATGAGTATGAAGAAATCAGGAGAAGCAGTGACTGTGATAAGCGACGATGATTCCACCAGCACATCAACAAATCAAGAGGAAAAATTGAATACTCTACAAGAAAAACCATGAACGCCTACAAACACCGAAGAAACGAGAATGTTGAAGAAACCAAACGTAATTTTAAGGAAGAGATCTCGTATTGAATATGCAGACAATGAAAAGACAATGAAGAAAAAAAAAACACCAGTCAACAAAGGGATAGAAAAACCGGAGCGAAGCAACCAAAACGCTTTGATACTGGTGCTGATAAAAAACAGACAACAGTAAAGCCCCAGACCCAATTTGATGATTCCATGTACAAAGATTTACCAATAGGATTTGATGGAGCAGCGTTTCTGTCTCGGTTGCCCCATGATAAATGACTTCTGCTGAAGCTGCATATTTCAAAGATATAGCGTCAGTAGGTCAGGTTGCTCAAAAAGTCTATTTACAAATTAGAAACAGAATTCTTCATCAGTGGGTAGAACATCCAAAGGTACAATTAACCGCGGAAAATGCACTGAAAAATGTTGAACCGCCTTATAATACCGATGCGCGATTAGTTAATAGGATTCATATGTTTCTTGAACGCAATGGTTATATAAATTAGGAGTTTTCAGAAGATTAAAACAAATTCCGAACAAGAAATTTGCACGAGTGGTAGTGATTGGAGCAGGAATTGCTGGTTTATGCGCTGCAAAACAATTACAACAATTTGGTTTTGATGTCGTTGTATTAGAAGCACGAGATAGAGTAGGCGGAAGAATAACTACTTTCCGAAAATGCAACTACATTGCTGATTTAGGTGCAATGGTAGTAACAGGTTTAGGAGGCAATCCAGTCACTACATTAAGTAAACAAATCAATATGCAACTGCATAAAATTAGCCAAAAGTGTCCCTTATATGAATCCAATGGTAATACTGTTCCGAGAGATAAAGACGAAATGGTCGAAAGAGAATTTAATAGATTATTGGAAGCAACTAGTTATTTATCACATCAATTAGACTTCAATTACGCTGGTAATAGGCCAGTATCTTTGGGCCAAGCAATGGAATGGATGATCAAATTGCAAGAAAACATGTAAAAGAAATGCAAGTTCAATATTTGAAAAATATCATTCAGCAACAAGAAAAACTGAAAGAAAATCAGTCACAAATGCTGGAACTCAAACATACATTAGTGGAACGAAAAGGTAAAATCGATAGCCTTCAAAAGATAGTACGAACAAGAGATCCGAAGGAAAAAAAAGATATGAAAGAGGAGTTTGAGATAAAAATGATTATGAAGGAGATAAATGGATTGTGTAGTAAATGGGATGAAATGAAGAAACAACAAAATGAAATAGAATCCAAATTAAGAGATTTAGAAGATAACCCACCGAGTGATGTCTATTTATCGACTCAAGACAGACAAATTCTCGATTGGCATTTTGCCAATTTAGAATTCGCAAACGCAACTCCTTTAAATAACTTATCTTTGAAATATTGGGATCAGGACGATGATTTTGAGTTCACCGGCACTCACCTTACCGTGCGTAACGGATACTCATGTCTACCAGTTGCGTTATCAGAAGGGTTAAATTTACAACTCAACACAGCTGTGAAAACCATAAGATATCATCAAAACGGAGTTGAAATTACTGTAGAAGACCAAAAAACAAATAAGCCAGGATTACAGACATATAAAGCCGATGCAGTTTTATGCACATTGCCATTGGGTGTATTGAAGTTAGCGAATTCCAATTCGAGCCAGACGAATAGCGTATGTTTTGATCCTCCATTACCAGAGTTCAAGAAAGCGGCTATAACTCGCCTTGATTCGGAAACTTAAATAAAGTAGTATTATGTTTCGATCGAATCTTCTGGGATCCGAACGCTAATATGTTTTGGACACGTGGCAGTACTACGGCAAGTCGCGGAGAGCTATTTTTGTTTTGGAACTTATATCAAGCACCTACTCTCTTAGCTCTCGTGGCCGGAGAAGCTGCTGCAATTATGGAGAACGTGACGGATGACGTGGTAGTCGGCAGATGTATAGCAGTCTTAAAAGGAATCTTTGGTAATACACGCCGTACCACAACCAAGAGAGACCATTGTCACCAGATGGAAGACCGATCCATGGTCGAGAGGATCTTACAGTTTCGTCGCAGTAGGCGCTTCCGGAAGTGACTATGATCTATTAGCAACTCCAGTACATCCACCTACTCCTGCAGGTCAACCTATAAAACCTAGGGTATTTTTTGCTGGAGAACATACAATAAGAAACTATCCTGCGACTGTGCATGGAGCACTGCTCAGTGGTATAAGGGAGGGAGCCAGAATAGCTGATCAGTTTCTAGGATGCCCGTTTAGTCATGAAGCTGCTAGTAGTTTTAACCATAGATGCCTTCAAATTTCTCATAAAGTATTTATTTATTTTAATAATATTTTAAAGACTGAAAACTGTGAGTGTAAAGAAAAAATAAAATAAGACATGTAATATAAATAATACTTGCACTCATGTCGTTTAATACGCACCATTCCTTTTTCTAAATTATCTTAATTTTTTAATGTACCAATCAAAATATTGAAATTGTAAAAATGTTAATTTCTAGACGTATGCTTAATATAAATAAAGTAATTTAAATTTTAAATAATACTGTTTTGATATCTGTAGTCATTTAGAATTATATAAATAACCATTGCATCATCTCACATTTATCAACGCCTATAAAGTAGTCATGTAAAGCTTTAGTTATTTAAAACTCATTACTAATGAAACCAGAATATGCTTATGGGACAGCAAACCATCTTTTGAATTCAGTGATATTTGCTATTTTTCAATAAATAAAGACATTTGTTTTAGCCCTCAATGGCGTTGGGAGTGTGAGAAGGGACAATGTGTTAAAAAGCCATTACTTGATACAGATGCTGAAAATGCTATTTCACTTAGCGCTTGCCAAATGTTCTGCGATCATGCAGGCGTGTTATGGCCTATACCTACAGGTGATGTAAGTCTTGGTAATACATTGGTAAAAATTGATTTGAACCATGTTCAACTCGAAGAATCCTTCAAAGATGATAATTATAAAAAATTGTTCAACAAAAGCATCGAGGTAAGTTGAAACAATTGATTACTATTAAATATCATTGATTACATTGGCTAATAATAAATAAACCACAATAGCGTTTTAGAAAACAACTAGCTTCTAAGGTACACTTAAAAGAAAAATTAAATGATGGAGGGCGAAAGTTAATAATTACTCCTAAAATTACCAATGAAGTTTTCCGTCGTAAGTGCTTCATCATTAACCAACATTATTACTGATTACATTTCATGACTAAAATTTTAAATTTAGCTATAACACTTGATACTGATGAATCATATAAATTATATGTAAGTCAAGCAGCTGACGACTTTGTCAATGCTACTATAGTTTCAAACTCATACTTTGGAGCTAGAAATGGCTTAGAAACTCTGAGTCAACTTATTATATTTGACGATCTGAGACAAGAGTTACAGGTAATAATAAACATATTAAACTTATTAATATAAAGGTCAGTAAAAACAATATATGACTGAAATATCATCACACCCTAGGTAGTCAGAGATGTATCATAGAAGATGCTCCAGTTTACAAATATAGAGGAATTTTGTTAGATACAGCGAGGAATTATTATTCTGTTGAATCAATTAAAAGGACAATAGGTAGTATTACAATGTTATGTAAGTTGTAAAAGTACCAAGTTATTAATTCTAAGTTAAAATATTTTAGATGCAATGGCATCAAGCAAATTGAACACATTCCATTGGCACATCACAGATTCACACAGTTTTCCATTTGAAACTCCATCATTACCACATTATATGAAAGGGGCGCCTATAAACCACATCTAATTTATTCAACAAAAGATATCGAAGAGGTTGGTTAAATATGAATTTAATGTGTGATCACTAAAATTTTGGATCATATCATCAAAAATAATTCTCAATAGGTCTTGGAATATGCTTTATTCCGAGGAGTACGCGTTCTTCCAGAATTTGATGCTCTGCTCATGTTGGAGAAGGTTTTCAAGGTTTGGATGTAACCGCATGTTTCAATGCAAAAACCATGGAACAAATACTGCGTAGAACACCATGTGGGCAGCTGGATCCAACGCAAGACAGATTATATGATATTTTACAAAAAATATATACAGACATGTTTAATGTATTCAAGCCTGATATATTCCACATGGGAGGAGATGAAGTATCAAACTCTTGCTGGAATTCAAGTACTCGCATCCAGAATTGGATGGTTGAACAAGGATGGGGTTTAACCGATGAAAACTTTTTGAGATTGTGGGGGCCTGTTCCACGAAAAAAAGCATTAGAAAAAGTTGAACAAGTAGCTGGTAAACAATTACCAATTATTTTGTGGACGAGTCATTAACAGAACTACCTCATGTGACCAAGGTTCTTAAATAAAGATAAGTATATTATTCAAGTATGGACAAACAGGAGCAGATATAAACAGATATTTGATCTCTTAAATAATGGATATAAATTAATAATGTCTAATATGATGGCCTTATATTTTGACTGCGGGTTGGTGGCTGGATAGGTGCAGGAAATAACTGGTGCTCTCCATATATAGGCTGGCAAAAGGTTTATTCCAATAGCCCTAAACAAATTGCTGGAAAGTACAGTAATCAAATATTGGTGGTGAAGCAGCGCTTTGGTCAGAACAAGCAGATGAGCATTCTCTAGACGCAAGACTTTGGCCTCGAGCTGCAGCAATTAAGTGAAACGGTATGGTTGAGCCAAGCCACAAGCTGGGAACATTGCAGAAATCCGCTTGATGATTCACAGGGAAAGGCTAGTTGAACAAGGAATTGCTGCAGAAAGTATTAAACCACAATGGTGTTTACAAAATGAGGAAATTGCCCTGCTGCATCATGATAAATATGTAAAGAAAAATCTTATTTCACATGTACTTATACTTATAATTATTAATACTTGGATAATGGGTAATTTTATGACAAAATATATGAAGTATAAATATTTCTTACATTGTTGCTTACATTCGACTATGAATGTTAATTTCAAATTTAATGTGCTTGCTCACTACAAGCGTACAGTAAACAAAGAACATTATTACACTTTATCAATATATAAAAAAATCTAAGATTACATATATCAATAAATAGAAATTATCTAGAACAAATATTATATAGTTACTTTTATACATTCAAAACAAATACAAATAAAAAATATTGAGTTTTATATATATTGTGGTATCTTGTTCTAACCCAAAATTTCTTATTTTTAGTTTAAGTCACTTTAATGGAAATAAGCTAAAGCTATTTAGCACCTATAATTCTTCAGATCTTCCAAATTGTATACAAGGGATCCCAAAAAAATAATAAGTTTTGTAACAGAAGACCTACACCAGGATAAGTATGTCCATCTCCGGCTAAAACAAAAAGATTAATATTAAACAGATTCAACGACTTCTGCAGATCTGATTATTAATAAATAATAACCTGCTGACACAAAGTCTGCAAACATGATCCAACAAGCTGCAATTACAGATGCAAAACCAATTACAAAACTAGGAATAACCAAACTCTAGCTCCTCGAGGACCCATACAACCTCCTGAATATGCATCACCAAGAACCTGTATTTATCAATTAATAAATACCAATAGTATTTCAGGAAAAATTATTAAATATATTTTACTGCCCTACTTTTTTTTCAAAAAAGTATGATTAATAATCTTTGTGACCACCTCAATGTGTTTATCCTCACAGAATTAAAACAAGTTTTATGACGTAGATTACTCCACTGATGTTGAGTAATAAAACAAACATTTAATAAAGTGAACTAAACGCTAGGAATATTATCTAATAAAGAATCTATAAAATTTAACATTAATGAAGGCATTAATAGGCATTTAATTTGTGCGTTAGATACTGAATTCACCATGAATAAACTAATAGTTCCAAAAACACCACAAACATGATGCGCAGCACTAAGTGATCCAGGATATACTGATGCTGCATCAATTAGAATCCACCAACCAGAAAAAAACTATAAAGATTTACCACACTCAATAAAGCAATAATGCATTTGAATCTTTCATTTGTAAGTATTAATAATTACCAGTATTCCTGCAACTATTGAAGCGTATGTATTTCTTTTATCTCCAGCTTCAAACCAAATACATGGAGGGATTGATATATTTTCAAAACAATTAGTCATTTTTATAAGATTTTAATATTTGTGAAACTTCTTGAGATTCAATTCTTGTCACTTTCAGCACAGAGTATTTATTGGAAATGGAGAAATTATTGTAAGTGAATCTGTCATATAAATACTTTTGAAATACAATAAACATATGATATCACAGAGTAAAATAGCTTTTAGAAGTTAAAATAACTTTTATGTTTGACTTTTGATGATTCTTGCAGTGACAGTTCATAATGTTAAGACAGTGTTGCAACACAGAAAAACTAACCATATTAAAAGTTGAAAAGTTAACAACACTAAAAATAAGTTTAATAAATATATTAATATTAAAGTTTAATAATAAACTTTCAATTAAAACAATGTTTGAAAAAAAATTCGTTTCTAAAATAAATTTATACATAAAAGAAGAGAACATAAATGAATAAATTCATTCTTGTTCTTTTTAGCTTCAAGAACTTTAAATGTTGGCATTACTGTTTGTTTTACAGCAAATGTCAAATGGTGCAAAATTTCAATCAAAATTATTTTTAATGTCTAAAATGTAAACAATAACGTGAAAATAGTTACCGGACGTGAAAAATCATGAAAACTAGTAAGCTTTGAGAAAATTGGTAAAAAAAAGCTATAGATAGAAGAAAAGACTGTAGAAATAAATTTGTGAATGTTTCCAATGTTGAAGGAGGAAAAGAGTTGGCTTCTTAAACTATGATTTGCTAGAGATCTTAATGCCAAAAATATATATCGTTTTATAACATCACGTCTAGATTTTTGTAAGATTTACAACGAATACTAAAACCATATATTGACATATGTATGTATGTTGTTTCCTAATGAATAATTCATCTAAAAATAATAATTTCTCTTTCTTTGATATTTGTGTGGGGTCGTCTAAGGAGTCCTGATATAGACACATAAATAAAAATATAAAAAAGACAAATTATATAAATTATATAACAAATGCAACCTTACATTGTTATTGAAAGCTGCATAATTCCAAATTTTATGTAGATTACTCTATCACTGATGTAGAGTAATAAAACAAGCATTTAATAAAGTGAACTAACAAAGCGTATGAGCACACATCTATTGATAGCACTGATAGCATTATTATTGTCAATCAAATCAAATCAATATTGACCGAACCAATATTGGCGAGACCTTTATTGGCCAGACCAATATTGACATGTCCAAACTACTAATGTCTACTTTAACAAGCTTCTTCATATGCCTAAAGAATTATCAATCACATTTTTAAAAAATATTATTTTAAATGCATTTATTATTAAAAATATATTATAAATGTTTATTTCTTTCTTTATTTTTATCTATAGCTAGTTCAACAATATCAGTTCCTCTAAAGAAATCTAAAGCTACAATATTAGCAGAATGTCCTAGTTCTTCACTATACCTGTAAAAAATGTATAATGAATGCAATTGAAATCCGAATTCAAAGTTTAAATTCTAATTTTACCATTTTGTTATGTATCTATTGACATTATCTGCCATTCTGCGTAATCCTTTGAAACGATCATATAAAATATCCCATATATCAGGTGTCAACTCTGCCATTGAGGCCACTGGCCTGAAATTATGCGCTATGGGGTCTTCTCTGCAAAAATAAAAAAATTCAATTAATTGTTGATGATAATAAAACGGCAAAAACTTTGTTTAAAAATCCATGGATAGAATTTGAATATTTACCTAAGTTCTGGAGTTCGCAAAAGATGCGTTTTCAGTGCTCCAACATCTTTCACATTGCCCCAATGCTGTTCTACAGCTTGCCATACAAAATCTCTTCCAATGGTGCGTGCAGTCTATTTACAAAATTAGTTATATATAATTTTATATTAATTCATGATATAACATATTTCTATAAATTATATATTATATTTATACGTTACTCTTTCGTGGTCATAAGCAACAATAATTCTTTTGCCCACTCTCCAAATGTCTTTTAAAGTTGCACCCCAAGTTAAACTGGGTGGTGCCATATTATTGCCTAAATGCTCCAATAGAAAATCTAGTAGAGCAGCATGACTTGTCATATCATCATTTTCGAAACCTAATCGAAACATAAATTATTTAAAAAATATAGATTTTTATATTTTATCTCATGTAACTTACCAACTGGAAATTCTTGGATATCAACAATAATGATTTCATTAGTTCTTTCAACAAAAGAATTGATTTCTTTTAAAACGCCTTCAAGAGGCTGCATTTTTGCTGGTCCATGGTTTACCCAGAATTCATCAGGCCGGGATTCTTTATTCCGTAAACGGTTGAAGACCGATATGGGCCATCGAGTTCCTTTATAAAAACCGACTCTGATGTCTAAATATCTTATTCCATGTTCTAATTGAGATGTTATGCTCTCATCCTGTAAAGTTATCAAATATAAAAATAAACAAAATTGTACATTCAATTCAACCAGATTTTAAAATAACTATTCGTTGCTTCTAAAAGCTCCTTAGATTATATTTATCTTTCCTGAGGAGAACTATCGGTATAGAATTCTTTTCTATACATATAAATTACTCATAAATTAATTATCAGTATTGATATCTTCTTGATTAAGTCTATTATTTAGAGATGTTGAGAAGTTCATACAACTACTTAATTTTATTTCAATTAATTAAGATATTTTTAAAATCTATTAAGTTTTCAAGCAAATCTAGTTTAAACTTGCCTTGGTCGAAACAGACCTGCGTGACTGTATATTTGGTGACATATGTGTTCCTTTTTCCGTCCGAGCAAGCTCCGGAATCGTGTGTTCCGGGTATAAAAAGTTCGGAAAGTCTTCTATTTCCTATGTACTGCCTCAAATCATGCATCCAGGTGGGATAGGTGGAGAGGCACGTGTTGCCAATGACTCGCCCGCTCCCAGTTAAGTACACAGCCCAAATGGCGTAACAGCCGGTTGAATTACGAGCCCAAATGGGGTCGTATTTGATATCTGTAATAAAAAATATCAAACTGTGTTATATAAAAGCCATAAAAATATAATATCAGTAAAATCAAATACATATTGGAAGCGAATTTTAGTAACAGCAAGAAGTCAGTAAGTGGCATTTTGCATTAAGGAAAGTTCCATGAACTTTCCGATATGAGTCAATAATCCAATTAATCAATAAGATAACAAGGGGGGAGGTGCATGGCATCGGGCCTTAAGGCAAATTGCTGGAACTTCCTGTACCGTAATTAAAAATCTTGGTACGGAACCTAAAAAAAAATACACAAAATGTGTACACATTATTATAAAATCTCTATATAATATTTGATAATTTGATGTACATATGTCTAATAAACATTTTTACCCCCAAATTACATTATTAACTTATTTTTATTGAGAGTCCATAACCGCTGGACCTGCCTTCCCAAAAATTTAATCATTTCTTCATCTTGTCAATACAAGTGAAATGTTTTTTGAATTATTAAAATCGGACGCTCCGTTCTTTTAAAAACTGAGTTACGGTTTTGATACTTTTTGCCCCGTATCTTCGGAACGGCTAGACCTGCCTTCGCCAAAAACTAATAAGCACGTCTCCTTATAAATGCAAATCGAATTATTCAAATCGGTTGATCCGTTTTCCCGAAATCGTCGACGAAAATTTGTATCCTATAAAACTTTGGTTTGTGTACTGAGACCGTGAAACAGAAAAAAATTCCAATGATCCTTCATTTTTAGCAAGGTCTTTTTCCTATTTATACACGATTTTAAAAAAACTATACCTCGTAAATGACAATTATATCGTTAAGATACTTGTCCTTCGGGAGATACTCGTCCTTAAGATACTTGTCCTTCGGGAAGTTAATATCATCGTAGTAAAAACTATAATATTAGGGGATCATCTCTAAATTATATGCAAACATTGAATTGAACTTTATTAATAAAATACAAAAGGCCCATTATTTACTAATATTTCAAAAATAAATATTAAATATATAATATTTATTACTGACCAGTATTTACCCATCCATCGCCTGAATCTGGTTCTATTTCTAAGAGAGGATTTTCATCAGGATGGTATTCTTCCGGGTCGCTCCTCCATAGTAATATTTTATCATTTTGTTCCGGTTGTAAACCACCTAAAGATATAATAACATTATTTTTATTTTTATCATCAAGATCATTTTGGATTTACATACTTCCAACTAAAAAACATAAATTCATCTATACTGATAAAACATTATATGACTTTTAAAATAACAATGTTTACGTAATATGGATAAATTTAGGTGGTTTCTAATCATAAAGCAGAACGCTTAGTTTGCATTTTACAATAAGTTTGTACAAAATTTGCAGAGTAATCAAAATAGTAGATAATGATAATAATAGGCTCTATTAACATTGAAATAAGTGCTCACCTGTCCACGAAACTTGAATAGACCGTGACTCCGCTCCAATAGTCAGAGATAGTCGTAATTTAGTAGAAATCACATCTGTAAAAGTAAATTTTGTTTTATCCAGAAATAAGTGACTATATTTCCTTAAAATATCACAATAACATTGATGACATTTAGATCGATATGCAAATTAGTTTTTTATTAGTCTTAATTTGCCAGTAACCTACTTTACAACGCTTTCTAGACCACTAAGTTTTCATAATAGATTAAATAACTTTATTACCTGACATAATTTTAATAGGAAATTAATCATACTGTTTTTTAATAACAAAATAAATTTTAAGAACTAGGGGGGCGCATGGCATCGTGCCTTAAGGCAAATTGCTAGAACTTCCCGTACCAAAAATTATTTTTTTTTAAAAAAGATTAACATTTTTGAAAAAAATTTACTCTGAAAAAATTAGATGTTTGAGAAACTATAAATTTTTGATAAAAATTTACTTTTTGAAGAAAAATTTATTGTGAAATATTTTCGTAATTGTGAACTTTTTTTCAAAGCAATCGTACTGCTTCAACTGCATAGAGACGAAATATCGAAGCGCGTAAGCGCACGTCGCCGTCTAACGGATAAACATTAGTACGGAACCCATAGGAATGTAAACAAAATTTATACTTATTGTTAAAATCTCTATAAAATATCTGATAATTTGATGTGCATATGTCTAATGATCATTTTTGACCGCCAAATGGCATTTTATTTTACTTTTTTTACTAGATCTCCGAAACCGCTAGACCTGCCTTCATGACAATTTGATCAGTTCTTCATCTTGTTAATACAATCAAAATGTTTTTTGAATTATTCAAATCGGATGCTCCATTCTCTTAAACACTGAGTTACCGTTTTTGGCACTTTTTGCCCCATATCTTCGGAACGGCTAGACCTGCCTTCGCCAAAAACTAATCAGCACGTCTCCTTATCAATATGAATTTGAATTATTCAAATCGCTTCATTCGTGTTTCCGAAATCGTCGACGAAAATTTGTATCCGCACACACACATACACGCACACACATACACACACATACACACACATACACACACATACATCCATTTTTTCTAAGGTATGCCAAAATGTTCAGAGGGTTTTGAAACGTAAAGATATAAAAATTTTCATTTTCGATTTTTTCGCGATTACTATAACTTGCCCTACGGAAAGTTAATAATATAATGATAATATTATTTAAGCCACCAATTCGACAAAAATTCACGTTTTCTTAAGCTGTTTAGGAGGCGTCGATTAATTGCGTGAGGTTTTTAGAGGGAAGGGGGGTTTTGACAAAAAATCACGAAATATCACATGTGGGAGGAAGGTGTATTGTAAGATATCAGGTGTATTTATTTTTTACCTGATTTTTTTAATAAAAATCCAAATATTTAAAAAAAATCACAATGTAAAAAAAATACACGTGATGTTTGGTGGAGGAGGGGGTAATTTTGAATATCACCACGTATCACCGAGTGGGGGTCCAAAAATTTTTAAAAAATCGATTGCGTGATCAGTGGACGCCCCCTTACATTGGAGTTAATCCTTAATTCACCGAAGTGATACGCTTGTATAGTAATTATTCAACCAGTTTTAATATTTCTTATTTCCATTATACTTTAAATATTTTTTGCTTACCAAAACTGTGAGTATCCTGCACGCAAGTGGCAATCAGTCCACATAATAAGGTAACAATGACATCTCTACGATTCCTCGCCATGGCCGAGCTGGTGGACACAATAGAATCACATCCGAATCAGACCCATTCAGCCAGAGTTAATAAATAGAGATTGTACAGTTAACTAAAAACAGAACCATCCACTGTTTAAATATTTGGAAACATAGATAATTAGTTAATTGCATGTGATTTATATTTAAACTGTCCTCACTTTACTGCGCGCTGGTAATATTGTCACCTTAACGGGACTATTACGTCTAAAGAGTAAAAATTTTATTTATATTTACATATTTCATTATCTATTATTATATTTAAAATTGATTTGAATTTCTTGAGTTTAATTAATTATTTTCATTTAGAGATGCATTTACTGAAATCTATATATCATCATATCATAGGCTCCCAAACTTTTTTGTGCCGTGGACCCCTTGATCTTTACCAAGGAGATTCCTTATTTACCCAGTATCGAATTTTTTTTCATAAATTTAACTGTACTAAAGTTCATTATTAAATATTTAATGTAAAAAACACGTTACTTTTATAGATATATTTATTAAATTTGAAGTAATAAAAAATAAAATAAGCAAAAAGTAAATATGTTATTTAATTATCAACAATTTATCAAAAATTTTATAAGACTTAACCCACTCGCGAATCCCAAGATTTATATGTATTTTTGCCGCTGGATTGGCGGCATCCGAGTGGAAAGGGTTAATCTTACATATCGTGTCTAATGATGACCAGTCTTATGACTTTTTATTATAGATATAGTATGTAGATATTAATGTGATGAACTGTGACCCCCATTCTCATTTCGTGGACCCCTAGGAGTCCATGTGAACCACTTTGTTAATAATATGAGTAAAATCAAAATTTGTAAAAGAGATCTGATTCACCGATACAACAATCATCATAAATTAATTTTTTTTAATTATTTTTCTTTTTCACAAGAATGTTTTCAAGTGTTTGTTCATTTTGAGTTGTTTTTGAATTGTTTTAAATAATTTGTGTGTTTGATCCACTTACTTACTTATTTAAATTTACTTACTTATCGACTTATTTAAAAAACTTAAAATATTTCTTCCTTTTTTAACTGGATGAATTTTCTTGAATTTTTGTTATATTACATACAGAAGAAAAAAATATCAAACTCTAATCGAAATCATTTTTCAAGATCATTCTCAATGTTTAATAAATGAGCAAAATATTTAACAATTAAGAATGGAATTTCAAAGGCGTCATTTACTTTAAACAAATTCCACAAGCAAATATATATTCAAAATCTTCTAAGAATTAACATATGTGTATGTTCAGAATCCATTAACATTATTTCTATGACAGAGAACAATATATAATTATAAATAAATGTTATATACAATTATTCAGTAATTGCAGAATAATCAAGGTAATTCAGAGTAATCTTGTTGTTATAAAAGTAAAAGACATGTAATTTATGTAGAGCTTGTCGTTATGATTTTTTTAAACTATTATATGGAAATGCGTAAGTCTTCAAAACACGTATTTTTTGTTATTGCTATTTTTTAAATGAAATGATTTAAACACGCAGGTTATATAGGTGGAAACATACGTAATTAAAGCTTTAAAAACACACATTTATATATATATATATATATATATATATATATATATATAATATAATCATTTAAAGTACTAACATTTTATTTATCAGATATTCAACAATCATTATTATTGCAAATTATACTGCATATGCAATATGGTTATTAAAGTTCTTAATGATGTATTACTGATTAAATAAAATAACCTTTTGCTAAAATAGCCAAGCTCAACAAAAATTTCGTATTTAGTATTTATGAGCAAAAATTAATGTTATTTTTAAAAGAAATATGAATTATTTTAGTGTTCAGTATTAAGCAAAAAAAATATACATTACATTTTTTATATGCCCGAAAAAAATATAAGATCCCTCTACTATTTGGACAACCGACCGTATTTCTTATTTAATTTTCCTAAAGAAACGCTGACTCAAACAAATATTATTTGTTATTAATTAATCTTAGGTTTACCACAATTACTAGTATCAGTTTTAGAACATACTATTATACAAACCTATAACTATAACTAAAAGTATTTTGAATTAGTCAAGAGGGACGTGATAGATATGAGTGATTTTTTATTTATTAATAATAATATTATAAGAAATTAATTTCACAAATCATATTTAAATAAAAAGGTTAATTGTTTATCTTTGATATAGTTTTTTAATTCAGTTTAAATTTGTCAATATTTTTAGTTCAGTAGATAATTTATTGAAAAGACATCTTGCACTTCTACGAGGACCCTTGTACGTTCTTTATTTAAATTTTGTACTCATATCCTCAAATTAACTAATATATAATAAATAATAATAATAAATGAAAAATTTTGTAAATACTTTTTTGAAAAGAAGGAAGCTCTTAGTTAAAATAGATGTTAAGTTAAAATAGATGTAAAGATGTAATTTATTTTAATGTAAACGTCAACTGTAATCAGTAGCTACCTGCAAAACACCAAAGTACGTATGCTTCGGCACAGGTTCTGATTAACTTCGCTCAAAAAAACGACAATAAAAAAAAAATTATATAATTCAATTGCTTATCGTAGTCCTATAATGTTTTAGCGTGTTATTAAATTATAATGAATAAAATCTATACTTACCAAATATTTTCTAGAGCACCTAAGTATAAAAAATCTAACAACAAACTAGTATTTTTTGCAAATATTGTAAATATAATAATACTGATAAAGACACTATAAATTAATCAAAAATGCAATTCACTTCGCATGCGTCGTATCAAAGCGTAATATCGTCGTAATCATTCTTCCTTCATCGACTGTTAACACTTTATTTTTGAATAAAATCCGCAAAGCGGAAACACTTTCTAAACGTCCTTGTTATATAAACATCTCACTTATTAACTGAACGGATACAAACAAAAAACCAACAACAGATTAAAAATGACTTAAAATATTTCTTCTATCTACTTTTTAATCATTTCGAAGAGGAACAAACGTACGCACTGGCATAACTTTCTTAACCGATATGCCAATGTACACTGGTGCTGGTACTACAATTGTGTCATTTGCACTCCTCAAAGCGGCTCTCTGCGACCACTCCAATTTGTTTATTTGTATCATCGGTGGTCAAACTCTATAAACGAACGCAATGGCGTGATTTTAAAAAGTAGTTGAACCAGCAAACAAATATCTATCATTACTCGACTTGCCAATCAAGAACTATTTGAGGCCACATATAAACACATTTGATAACTGATGTCGTAGCGGTTCTAGGTGTAAAAAATGCAAAAAGATGGTAGACGATAGACTCGTTCCTTCAACAGTTTTTGCATGTACTTGTTTAGCAACTTAAATTTGATATTTTAAGTGACACAAAGTGATTTATGTTACTTTTCCGAAGATTCAATCCAAAAACTAGTTGTAAGTAGAATTTTGTCTTAAGTCAAGTTGCATGAACTTCCCGATACGTTATGTCTACGTAGACATAATCAACTTAATCAATAAAAATTTAAATTCAGCTATTTCAGATAAAATGTTCAACTATTTATTACGAAAATAACATTCTCGCTTTCACTAAAAAATAATCGATACGATTCCCAATTGATGTTCTTCAAACGTACTTATAGTATCTGTAATAGTATACATTAAATTAATTTGTTTAAAGCATTCCATTTAACCCGTTTCATGTTCAAAAATGTATTTCTGTGATCGAAGACGTCAACTGTAATCAGTAGCTACCTGCGATACGGTTCCAAATTGATGTTCTTCAAACGTACTTATAGTATCTGTAATTGTATACATTCAATTAATTTGTTTAAAACATTTCATTTAAACCATTTCATGTTCTAAAAATGTATTTCTGTGATCGAAGACGTCAACTGTAATCAGTAGCTACCTGCGATACGGTTCCAAATTGATGTTCTTCAAACGTACTTATAGTATCTGTAATTGTATGCATTAAATTAATTTGTTTAAAGCATTTCATTTAAACAATTTCCAGTTCTAAAAACGTATTTCATTTCAACTGTAATCAGTAGCTACCTGCGATACGTCAAATTGATGTTCAAAAGTACTTAAATCTTAATTGTATTTAAATAAATTTGTTTAAAACATTTCATTTAAAATATTTCGTGTTATAAAAATGTATTTCATTTAAGTGTGATCGAAGACGTCAACTGTAATCAGTAGATACCTGCGATTGCTCAAACGCACAGCAAAATTATGAACTTTGATGAATTTATATCAGTCAACCGCTTATATAATATTTCATCATGTTATTTCAGACTACAAAATTTGTGATTATTCAAAGTTTTATCAAAATCGTCAAGAAAAGTGTTCAACATTTAATTACGAAGAAGCGGCTGGGCTGATGTTTTCCAAAATCTAATCAACGCGATTTCTAACCAATATTTTTCGAATGCTTTTTGAATTTTAAAATCGAGTCAATATTGTGAGCTGAAACGTGGACGAAAATTTTACATTTTTCTGCTAATTACAAAGAAATGGCTCGTCCGATCATGGCACAAAATTAATCAACACTGTAGTCTTTATCTAATTAGATCGAATGACTTCTAAATTTTTTAAAGCGGTTCACCCGGTTTTGAGAAAATAATCCATTATTTTAAAAGTTTCATAATATAAAGATGATCTTATCAAATTACTCCTAATATAGTTAAAAAATGTTTTGGATAGAAAACCTAATGATTGAATGTGTCTAGTTCTATAAAGTAAAGATTTTAGAAATAAAAAGCCTGAAGTATAAATATAGGTTTACGCCTAGCCGAATCCCTTAGACCTATTTTATGTCTACTAATAGGTAAGGCCTTTTTTTTCCTTTTTTTGCTATCATTGTAAAAAAATGCATATCTGCAGGTTGTCTTTAAATTTACTTTTTATACTTATATGAACAATCGATGTTATGTCTTATGAGATAGGTGATCAAATAAAAAAATTAAAACATGTTTGGATGTTCATCCATCCCTGTGTTGTACTTAAAAACATGAAATCATTTGGCTTTACTAAATTTTTGTTAAAAAAATACATCCGCGTTTATATTTGTCAAATATA